TGGGGGTCACTCAGGATTTCTCCAAATGAAGGAATCCATTTGGGCTTGGAAATGGGCTTCTAGGCCAAACAGACCAATCTCCGCAGTCAGGATGAACGGGACCGGTGTAAACTGGGTGTTTGCCACGGTCAGGATTGCTCGCCTGCTGATTGATGGGACATCTTGCTCTCACGTAACTTTTGATTGAACCGTTGGATTGTCTTTATGTCAAGTGTGCTGGAAATCTGTTTGTTCCATCTTAAAGATCTCCAAATTTGAGCTGGATCAGACGGTTAGAAGGTCTTCATTTGAGGGTGAACTTCTGACGGTTTGACTAAACAAGATGAAATGATCCCCTTTTATCGTCTTCATCTGGCTTTACATATGGAGTCTTTGAATGTCATCCTTCATTTCATGGTGTTGAATACTTTTGAATGGTTTGCGATGAGAAAGATGAATCGTATATAATGTTTTGGTATTTAGCAAAATTATAATTTATTAGCACATAAGTTTGTTACCGAAAAGAAGCAACATGTGATTTTATTTATTCAATTATATCATTTTTCCTTAGTATTGGTAAAGTATTAATTGTATATGTGTTGGGGATAAATTCGCCTAAGCATATAGCACCGGACCTTAATTCTTTTGGATTCGAAAAAATTCTGTACGAAAGGCCACCTGTTCCCAGATTACTCGTGTCTGACAGTGCAGGCCACGCTGTCAGATACAAAAAAAAGTCAAGAATTGAGTGGTCAAGAGGAGCAGGGGTTACTTTTTATATGTCCTAGCTAGACCTAAGCACAGTGAGCAAGAAGAATCAGGATATAAATAAATGTAACCCGCACATGTATCCGGAGAAAAGAATCAACTAGCAAGGCAGCATCGACACCCCAGTCCCAATATTAAGGGATCCGGACCAGGTATGAATAATCCATTAAGCGGGAAACACTGTTAAAATTTATCTCCATTCGACAATCGGAATTTCCCTTGTATTGATTCCACAATCAAAATATGCCTACAGATTGGCATTTAATGCGCTATGCTTACACATGTCATGTGACAATGACTATTCGCAGAAAGTAGAGAGAAAGCAGAGGTTCAGCGAAGTCCATACCGTGTTTGAACTGCTGAACCTAACTTGTACGATGAAGGTGATAAGGACGTGCAAAGGAACGATCTTGCAGCAGGAGGAACATGCCAAAGAAAGTTGGTGAGTCCGTCAGAAGTGTGACGCAAGCCTAAAATTCAGACCCAATCAATTCGGATCTCCGGACCAACCCGGGAACCCGCGACCCATGGACCGACCTGATATACTAACCCGGATCTAGGTAAAATCTTATAAATACTTAACCATTTCCAACAGGAAAGGGTTAAATAACCAGCAAGGCGTCATCGACAGCCTGGTCCTAGTATCAAGGGATTCGAGCCAGGTATGAATAATCCATTAAGCAGGAAACACTGTTCAAATTTATCTCCATTCGACAATCGAAATATGTCTTGTATTGATTCAACAATCAGAATATGCCTACAGATTGGCATTTAATGCGCTATGCTTACACATGTCAGGTGACAATGACCATTCGCAGAAGACATAGAAAAAGTAGAGGTTCAGCAAAGTCTATACCGCATCTGAACCACTGAACCTAACTTGTACGATGAATGTGATAAGGACGCACAAAAGAACGATCTTGCAGCAAGAAGAACATGCCAAGGAAAGTTGGTGAGTCCGTTAGAAGCGTGACGCAAGCCTAATATTCAGACCCAATCAATTTGGATCTCGGACCAACCTGGGAACCCACGACCCATGGACCGAGCTGATATACTAACCCGGATCCAGGTAAAATCCTATAAATATTTAACCCTTTCTAACAGGAAAAAGGTTCAATTCTCTTGCAGTCTTAATGCTCATGATATCTCTCTAGATACTCGTGAACCTTGATGATATGATCGTGACCAGCTCAGAGGAGGAGGAACCAGAGGTAGCTGGCAGGATCACTCGTTCCAGAGCTAGAGAGATGGCTAAGGAGGCTCACGCACTCATTGCCACAGAGGACAGCGATCACCAGGAGGCTGGAGCTCACATCTTCAACATCTCTATCTTGAAGAATGAGGAACCCAGTAACAATGACTAGGTAACTTAGGTGATGATTCTGTACTCTTTTCCTTGGTGAAGATTTTGGAAGGCAAGGAGGTTCTTCTCCAAGGTTTTTAACGAGGCAGAAATCATTGCTACGTCGAGTTACTTAGAAGTTGTTACTAATGGGTAATAATGTGCAAAGTCACAATGACTTGTGCACTTAGTATTTTGGCGCACCACTTAGGATTTTAGGGACGCCTCGCTGTTTTTATTTTAAATCAAACTTCCTGTTGTTTTTATTTAAACTTCATGTAGTTTTGTTTCTTTAGGGCTGCGATTTCTCTAAGTCTATATAATAGAGAAATCGCCTAAGTCATTAGGCAGCTTGGAATTTTAACGTAAAAAGAGAACAGCATCGTTTTCCTTGATTCCTTGACTCAAAAGTTCATTGAATTCGATTTTCTTACAAGTGTTTCTTACAAGAAAATCTTCAACCTATCATCTAATCGATTCCCCATCCTCTATTCTCGCCATCATCCCTTATCCATCGACCATACTCTCGCGAATCCATCACTACCAGATCGTTTCGGATCCGATCTCTTCACGCCACCATCTCGCATCATCAATCCGAGCCACTCACTACCATCGCCACTCATTGTCTCGCTCACTAGACCACCATCGCAAATCCATCGAGTCATCACCGCGCCACCACCACCACCTTATCGCCTCATCGTTCCATTTTGGTCAATATATCGCCACCTGTAGCCTTGTTCTTCAGAGTAGATTCCCTTGGATCGTATCACTTAAGCTGCATTACACTCTCTTTTCAGGTCATTACTCCGACCATCTCAACACGTTATTTCCACTTCCACTCCATGGCGGTTCCTAAACCGTGGAGCTCTTCCACCCCTAAACTCTTACACTTCTTCTCTTTTCCACCTAAAATGCCTACTAAACTCAGGCCCGAGTAGATTCTACCATTCTCAAGAACTCTCTGTCCGCTTTCCCTTCTCTCGTTTTTCGATATCTTACTTTTCTCCGATTTGCCACGTCGTGGTCTTTTTGTTACTGTTTACTGACTTGAGTTTCAGAAAACCATCGGAAAACATTATTTTGGGCTTTCACGCGTTTGCTGGTTTTGCAGAAAACTTGTCCTCAAATAGGACTGAAAATCCACTAAACAATATTTATATCCTAAGATGCATGATATCAAAAAGCAGATACAGTATGTAGAAGTAGTATGGAAGTGCAAAAGCGATTTTATGGAAAAATTAGGAAATGGGTACGTGTTTTCATCGTTTGATGGAATACATTAGAAAATTCCAAACATAAAATTATATGAAAATATTAAAAATAATTTTTTTTAAAAAAAAACAAAAAAAAAACAAAAATCCATTCCATCAAACGATTTACATAAGAAAGTAACATTAGTTTTCACAATACAATTTAGTTTTGGAAGGTTAAAAGGATATGATTTGAAATATCTATTAACATTCTCAAAATATTATGATCAAAGAATTGAAATACTAATTAACAATATACAGTAGAACCTCTGTAAATTAATACTCGATAAATTAATAATCACTCTAAATTAATAAATTTTACTGGTCCTCAGTCGGGCCAATGTAAAAATCCATCAAAGTCGATAAGATAATAAGTATAATATTTTTGAAATCCTTATATAAATATATGGTCCCAACAAAAACATAAATTAATAATTATATACATTTATGCAAATATATATAAATATAATATTCAAAATATGTGTTTGTTTTTACTTAAAGTTGAAATCTCATTGGATCTTATCTCTTTAATTATTATATCAATAGTTTTTATTGGTGTTTTATGATATATATTCAAAACTTATGATGATTTTTTGATGTTTTACGATATATATTCAAAATTTATGATGATTTTTTGATGTGATAATTGATTTTTCTATCTGTAAATGTTTTTAAACGTATTGTAGTGTTATTTTAATTTTATCATCAATAATACAGATAGTACCATGATCTTTTTATAAATTTTAAACTTATGAAAATGTATATTTTTACATGGACAATTCAATATGGTATTAAAAACTATTTTATTGTGATAGTTATGATTGTTAATCATAATTTCCATTATGAGATTTGTTAAAATTTTAATATGTACTATTATACAAAAGAAATTTTTAGAATCTTATAGATAAATTAATATCACGATAAATTAATAAAATAGCATGGTTTCGACATTATTAGTTTATAGAAATTTTATTGTATACTCTTTCACAATGAATTAGAGATATTTTAAAGTTAAGAGAATATCAACTATATATCCAATCATTCGGTTAATTTAGAATCATAAAAATTATAAAATCTTGTAAAATGAAATTATTGCTTCCAAAACAAAGGCTTGACTGATTTGAAACACAATTTCATACAAAAAAAACTCTGATTTTTATTCTTAAAAAAAAGGCCTGACTGATTCTTATTCCTTGTACAAATGGTAAACTGTATTTCTTTTTTAACGCAAATCTTTCATACCAAAAAATCTCTAAGTAGCAATTTTTGTTTCTTTGGTTGAAATCCGCTTTCTCTTCACGCAGCATATACGATTGTAAGTATAAAAATTTGCATTTTGGAGCGTTATTAAGTGATTTGTACAACTTTAAGTAATTGCACTTCCTCACGTTTTTAAGATTTTCCGAACATAATTCCAATTATGAAATAGGAAAAAGACTTCGAAGGAAGCTTCCCTGTTACATAGTGTATATCTTAGGTAACTATAATCTCTGATTTCATTAACAAAACTAAATACAGAAACAAAATATTTACATTCCAGCCTTTTCAGCTAATTTGATTTTACTCTTTCTTAAAAAAAACCGAATGTTTTAAATTTTTAATTACCTAAGAGACAACCAAAAAAAAAAATTGTCATATGAAGTCGGCAAGAGTCAGGCTGTATAAAAAAAAAAAAGTCTTTAAAGATCAGGATTAAGAAAAGTAAAAGCAAAGTCATGTGCCGAAGCTTTTCTGTGGGACCCAACCGAAAACACGAACTCCATGAACTCCGCCGCCGTCTCCATCCGCTGACGTCATGCTAACCGCCGCATCATTCCTCCCTACACGGTGGAGCCGAATCCTCTTCTTCCTACTCTGTTCGCCTATCCTTCTACCTCTTCTCTGCCTTTCGATCCCTCTCCTCTGCGCCGTCGAGATCTTTAGCCGCCTCCGCTGTCGAATCTTGAAATCGACACCTTCGGAAGTTATCGCCGCCGATGAAGATGATCTTGGGCTCCGGCGATGCGAGGAAGGATGCGGAGGATGCGGCGAATTCGTAGTGGAAGAATATGAAGATGGGATTGAAGGAAGTGGTTTGCTTCAGAGATACTTAGAGGATCAGTTGAGTTTGGCTAGATCCATTTACGATTGCGGCGAAGATGACGGCGATCGTGATCCTGATCCAATTAGGGTTCCTCTTTTGTCGTAGATTTTTTTCTTGTTTTTCTTGAAATTTTAAATGTAGATAAAAGAATGTACTTTTGATCAATCTCAGTTTTTATGACTTTCTAGTTTTTGGATTCTTGATTGTTTTTTTTTTTTCAATCAAAATTTTGGTGAATGCATCTATGTATCAACTCAACCATGCCTCACCCTAAAGCTTAACAAACCAAATGTGAAAGAAGTTGCTAAGAGGAATGCAAATGATTCCAAAAGTTCTCAAAACCTATACTAATCACACAACAAAAAACGAGTGCAACAACTTTCATTTGACAAAGAAGAGTATTTTTTTTTTTTTTCAACGATAAATGTGGTTTTGCATTTTCAATATATTTAGTACCCGTTTTTTTTGTTTTTTTTTTTTTTTTTTGAAAATCTATTTAACTAGCTACCTAAAATTCAGTTTTTGTTGAACATCACTTTCGTTAAAACGATAGGGAGCATTACAACGATCGAGGAGGAAAGTTCCAGGGAATTGCTTTCATTGCCTTAAAAGTCTGATTTCATGGAGCATTATGTTGAACATCACTTCATTGTGTTATGGGTTGGTCAAAGCTTCTTCCAGTTTTTTTTTTCCCTCTTCAGTGGTCTTTTTACTGTTGATAATAAGTTGATAAATGTTCAGTTCAACCGAAGTCCAAGAATAACATCAATGTATCTGAAATTATTTTACTTATTTCTTCATTATTCTTCATTCTCCTATGATATCTGAAGAGTAAACTTTTTTTCTTCACAAGTGGTTTGAGATATGACATAATTGGGCATGACGAATCAAAACACAGATAGTTAAATATTCTTGATGGGAATATCTTAGCCCACACACTATTTGAGAGAGGTCCATCAATGTAGCAATAAACGAAATGTGTGTGTGTGTTGAATCCACGCAATGAGAAAGAGTTTTTTTCGGAGAGACCAAACAGGTCACATTACGATACTAATGTGCTAAACATTTCAAAGGTTTCTTCTGCTCGAAGGGGTCCACCCGTTTTCTTTGAACGAAATCACATGTCAAGAACTATACAATGTCTTGTCTTGAGTTGTGTTTATCGTTTATGGTTTAGAGTTGTGAGTTGTGTTTATATAACATCCCAACCCAGAGCTCTTAGGATAACCGGACATGTTAAGTCGATGGTCTAACCTCATTTGGTTAGCCATCTGGTTTAGTCTATATTAGGTCGATGATTTAATTTCATTTGGTTAGCCACCTGGTTTGATCCAGTGATGAGTAAAGGTTTGTCAGAACCGAAAACGCCCGTGTAACAACAATTCTATTAGATATTAGATCCAATGCTAATCTGAAAGGGAGATTGAAGGGTGAGTAATTGGGAAATTACTCAGTGAAGTGAACCTTAAGAGATTCATTATCACTTCCAACATATTATAACATAGAGATTAAGAAGAGTCTAATCCTAAAACAAGCTCAAGAACAATCCTATCTTCTAGACATCAAGACACAAGCAAGCAATCAAAGCGGTTTGCTAAGTCCATTTTATTATCCGTCAAATCACCTTTTTTTATCATCATACTCAAAGCATGGCAAACACTCATCATGTTCAAGACATGGCAAACTCGTTCATGCTCAAGGGATGGCACAACTCCCGTCAATACACCTCATCATGCTCAAGGCATGACAAACCCTATGCACCTTTTAAATTATTCAGCAATCACTTTAATTCCCAAACAAGAGCAAAGCTCTGCAGAGGATGACATCCTATCTCGCGGAATCGGACTGCCACCCGTGATATGCTGAGTTTGACATATCACCAATTGGTCACACAGATATGTGGTTTGACATAACCGCCTAGCGATGAGCTCTGCTGGTCCAATAGGCACCAGACAGCCGCCCAACAAGAAATCACGAACCACAGGGATGCCTGTGTCGAGTACCTAACTCGATCTACTTAACAAATCAATGGGGTTTCCTAACAAGCAATCTATAAGGTTTTACGACTTCAGATCAATCACCACACACTTGTCAATCAATTAATTCATTATTTTTTAGCATTTTTTTAATGGATCTCTAGCAACCTAGCTCATCATCAGGCAATATACAGCAATCATTAATACCATCAACAAGAACCATCATCAACAACAAGCAATCAATCACACAGACACACAGCTATGGTTTAAGAAGAGACTAATCAATCACCCTAGATCATAATATGCAGGAGTTGGAAAGAAACAACCCTCACCTGGGCTTTGCTGGAGGAAGGGGCACATGAGGCTGGTGTCTCTGTCTCGCGGTTCGGGATCTCCGGCGGCTTGGAGGCTTCATGGAAAGGGGGCAACAACGAGGAAGCTTCACGGCGAGGAGGAGGAGCAGCGGCTCGGCAAAGAGAGAGAGAGAGAGAGAGAGAGAGAGAGAGAGAGAGAGAGAGAGAGAGAGAGAGAGAGAGAGAGAGAGAGAGAGAGAGAGAGAGAGAGAGAGAGAGAGAGAGAGAGAGAGAGAGAGAGAGAGAGAGAGAGAGAGAGAGAGAGAGAGCTCGACGAGGGGGGAGAAGAAGAAAGAGGAGGCTGGTGGCGCAGGAGAAGAGAGAAAAAAGAGGCAGAGGTTTTTTTGAGTGATTAGGGTTAGGAAAAATAAATTAGAAGGGTATTTATAGGGAGGAGTTTTAGGGTTGGTTCAAATAGAATTAGGAAAACCAATGGGAAAAGGAAATTAACCAATTCCCAATTGGCTGGGTTTTTACAGTTTATAAATTAGAGTTTAGAGTTGTGTTTGTAAATGAGTTCCATGTCAATCTAGTTGTTGCAGCAAAATAAAACTTACAGTTTAAAACATTTTCAAGAGATACTTTATAACTTCAAATATGAGGTTTTATGCATTTTAAAAGATACCTTTGAGGTTTTAAATAATACATTATATTTGAGACATCATATTTGAGGTGAGACCAAAAAATGAGATTCATAATCCATCCAATCCAAAATTTTAAAAACAAATACATCTGAATTTTGTTTTGTCTCTATCAAGATAGGATCTCCGAGCAGATACTGATCCGATGTATTTTTCTTCGTCTAAATATAATTTTTTGGGTAAGTGTAACTGTAAAAAAAGATAATACTTGAGAATATTGTGTTGTATTGATTTCGATTACATACATTGCATATATATACACAGGTAAAACCGTAGAACTAATGTTGAGGTTTAGCACAAACCGTCATTGCTAAAGTACAAACCGTCTTAGCTATAACACAAACCATCATTGCTAAACCCCAATACTAATGTTGAGCCTAACCTAGCCCAACTCCCTAACACTCCCCCTCAAGTTGGAGTGTGGAGATCCTGAACACCCAACTTGGACAGCAAGACTTCAAACTGAGGACGTCTTAGAGCTTTTGTAAGGATATCAGCTCTGATTTTTGGTTCGAACATGTATTGTGGCGATGACACCTTTGGTAACTGCATCACGAACACAATGACAATCTCGTTCAATGTGTTTAGTGCGTTCATGAAACACCGGATTTGCTGAAATCTTCATAGCGGCTTCACTGTCACAATGAAACAGAACCGGTTTTGGAACTTGAACACCAAGATCTTCCATTAACTGAACAGTCCATTTTGTTTCCTTAGGGCAACTCGAACTCACCTCTATTTTTGACTCTAAATGCTATTTTAGAGGAAAATCCTCTCCAACCCACCTCTATTTCCACTTCTAAAATAGCATTTCTCTATTTTTTTCTCTATATTTAAAGAAACTCTATTTTTTACTCTAAAATAGAGGTGAACTTTTTTATTTATAAAATAATCCTTTAAGTTACAAATCTTTTAATTTATGACTAAAACTATCAATATAAATGGTATAAATTCAGTTTTAACAATAACAATTAACAAAGTTATTTCATATACATTTTACCTCAGAGAAAAAAATCAAATTTTGATAGAACATCATACTCTTATTTATTTTGATACAAAAAATGGTTAGTGACTTAATACATTAGTGATAAGACAAAATATAATAATAGATTTTAAAACAAAATCTAATATGTTTTCTCATTTTTATTTGATGTAGTAGAATTTTATTTATCAAATAAATGTTTAATTTACATAATATCATAATATATTAAAGTTTTGCAAATAATAAAACAATTGGGGTTAAATTATAATGTTTTACAAATAAAATGAATTAATAATAAAATAAAAATAGAATATTTTTAGAATATTTTTTTAAGAGTTAAAAATAGAGAAATACATTGGAGAGAAATCCACCTCTATATAGAGTTTTTCTTAGAGTCAAAAATAGAGAAATACATTGGAGATAGTCTTAATAGCAAATGCCATAGCCCTGTACTTGTACTCTGCTTCAGCTGATGAGTGTGAAACTGTTGACTGCTTCTTCGTCTTCCAAGATATCGGACAACGACCAAGAAGAACGGCGTACACACTAAGGGAATGACGCGTCATGGAGCACAATGACCAATCAGACAGTACACTGACAGCTGAAGATTATTCAGCTCATAATAGAATACCTTGTCCAGGACATCCTTTTAGGAAACGAACAACGTGGAGAACAGCAGCCCAATGAGCTTTACGCGGCTCTTCCAAAAACTGAGATAACAAATGAATCGCATAACATAATTCTGGTCTTGTAACAGAGAGATAAACAAGACCACCCACCAGTCGTCGATAACGTTTAGGATCAGAAAGCTTCGGGCTTGCATCGGTGGCAAGCTTATGGTTTTGTTCCATTGGAGTTAACGCTGGTTTCGCACCAAGAAAACCTGTATCAGCTATGATGTCAAGGATGTATTTCCATTGAGATAGAAAAATACCCTCTCTAGAACGTGCTACCTCAATACCAAGAAAATATTTGAGTTTGCCCAAGTCTTTCATATAGAAACATTCCCCTAAATAAGCCTTGAACTTTGTTAATTTCTCGAGATCATTGCTAGCAATAACAAGATCATCAACATATATAAGCACGCGAAGCTCTAACTCATTCTTCCGATAAGTAAACAAAGAGTAATCAGAGTATGATTGCACGAAACCAAACTCTAACAAGGCCTTCGACAATTTTGCAAACCAGCAACGAGGTCCCTGACGAAGACCATAAAATGATTTGCGCAGGCGGTGAACTTTGGTGGGATCTGAATGAGTAAAGCCAGGTGGAGATTTCATGTATACTTTTTCGCTGAGGTCACCATGTAGAAAGGCGTTGTGGACATCCATCTGATGCACTTCCCATTGTTTGGCTGATGCATCACCAAGAAGAGCACGAACAGTTGCCAGTTTAACGACCGGAGCAAAAGTTTCATCGAAGTACTTGCCTTCCATTTGTTTATTTCCCATAAATACGAACCAAGCTTTATGACGTTCAATCGTCCCATCAGCATTGTATTTGTTCTTGTACACTCATTTTCATGGTAAAGCAACCTTGCCAGGAGGAAGGGAGGAAACGTCCCAGGTATGGTTGTCTTCTAACGCCACAACTTCAGTCTGCATAGGATCATGCCATACTTCATCTTACACTGTTTGAGAATAACTTCTTGGTTCGACACCAGCATTCAGTGCTGCCAAAAACACTTGGTGCAAGGGTGAGAAACGAAGATCAGATACATAATCATTGAAGGGATATGGTGTCTTACCTTGGACTGTTTCGGAAGACATTGAAGTGGAGCAGAGAAACGTGAGATGGGGGACTTTGAAAAATGAGTTATACGTAATGAATCCTTGAGTCTGCTTGAAGGAACACATTGCCGATGTCCGCGACCCAACTGCTCGTCTTCAGTAACTGACTCTGAAATAATTGGTGTGTCGTCAGCAATGTTTGGAACAGGAAGCTCTGGCACAGCGGAATTGTCAGTGGAGACATGGAGGTTCTCAACAAGAGACTCTGAAACAATTGGTGGTAAAGCAGAACTCCCCCTGTCGAAGGAATCAGGTTGTGAGGTTACTGTTACCTTTTCTGTAATGACCAAATAAGAACTCCCTATGCCGTCAAAACTGGGTATGACGTCAATCAACCAATCATCATTGTTAAGTACAAGTGACGACGAAGGTTGCATCATTGGAGGACCATCTGTTGGTGACTTCAAAAACGGGAATTCATCTTCATAACATGTAACATCATGAGAGATGATAAACTCTTTCTTCGCCAAATCATAAACTTTCCAGCCCTTCTGACCAAATGGATATCCGAAAAAGACACAACGCCAGCTTCGTGCTCCGAATTTGTCCTTATCTCTGGAGCGCAAGTGAATGTAGCACAGGCTACCAAAGACACGAAGTAGATCGTATGAAGGTTTTTCACATACAAGACTTCATACGGAGATTTCCCTTTAAAAATCTCGGTTGGAGTACGGTTAATAAGATGAGTTGATGTCATAACTGCTTATCCCCAAAACTTTGTTGGTAATCCTCCTTGGAATAATAAGGCACGCGACACGTTGAGGATGTGGCGATGCTTACATTCGACGCGACCATTTTGTTAAGGATTAGCAACGCAAGAAGTTTGGTAAAGTATCCTTTTTTCACGAAAACAATGTGCGAGGGACATAAACTCCATGTTATTATCGCTGCGTACCACTTTGACCTCTTTACTGAATTTTCGTTCTGACATAGCACAAAATTTTTGAAGGACTGTGTTAACCTCTGATTTTTTGAGTAATAAGTAGGTCTAAACGGCTCGCGAAAATCGTCAACAACAGTTAAGAAGTATGCTGCTCCACAAGATGCACGAGTCTGAAACGGACCCCAAACGTCACAATAAATTAACTCAAAACAATCTTTGGATTTATTCAAACTATCTAAAAACACTTCTCTAGTCTGTTTTGCCCTAAAAAAAGTGTCACAAGGACTAGGGGCAGAAGAAAACATAGGTAAAGTAGCTAAAACAGAAAACGATGGATGTCCTAGTCTTTGGTGCCACCGGTACTGATCAGCCAAACTAACAACTTGACTAGAAACTCGATGAAACCTAGCTGCCATGACATCTTTAAAGTAGTACACCCCATCTCTCTCTTCACCTGCTCCAATCAGGGTCCTCGTGAAACGGTCCTGTAAAACACACAACATATCAGTGAGAAGAGCGAAACAATTAGTTTGTTTCAATAATTTTGAGACGGATATCAGGGAACAATTGATTTGGAAAAAACAACACATTGTCCAAAATGATACGATCAGTCAACGGAAAAACACCCGTATGGGTCGCAAAAGTATGGTTTCCATTAGCGAACCCAACAGGACATGATGGTATATTAGACGTGTTTACAATGAGTGAGAAATCTCTTGTCATGTGATGAGAAGCCCCGTATCTAGTATAAGATCAACATTACTACGCTTACTAGAAAGTCGATCAGTGGAGGGTTTTGTTTTCTTACTCATCATCTGAGAAAGTGCTTTCCATTGTTTAGGAGTGAACTCTGGAAACAACGACGAGTTTGATGTGGTAGTGTGGGCATTGCTCGCTTGATGTTGCACATTGTTGGCTTGTACTCGATTGGATCCTCCTCGTCCTGCACCGTGACCTCTGTCACCTCCACGACCGCCTTTGTTGAAAGCACGTTTTCCCACCAGGAAGGAAAACCAACAAGCTGCCAACAGTTTGCCTTGATGTGCCTTGGTGGCCACAATGTGATCACTGTGAAACACGATCCTGTTGTCCGGAACCACCAGACTCAGATCGAAAGGACGTGGGTTCGAACAACGAAGACTCCCAATTGGCAACAAAACCCACCGTGTTTTGTTGAAGTTCATGCTCCTTTGCAGAGTTCAGTCGTTGTTCTTCATGAACGACCTTTGCATAGATCTCACCGAAATCAGTCGCACCATCGGACGAGATGATCTCTTGACACATACCACCAAACCGAGCTTCATCAAGACCCATCACGAAATGATGCATATTATTTTCTTCGCGTTATTTCTCATACTCTGCAACGGCATTGCACGTACACACAGGAAGTGGCTTGTACATGTCAAGTTATTCCCATATATTTGACAGACGCCCATAGTAATCCATCACATCTTCACCGTTCTTTCGACACACGACCAATTGCTCTTTCAAGTGGTGCACACGCACCTTGCTTCCCACAAAGAAACGCTTCTTAAGATTTGCCCACAACTTATGACCATCCGAGATAAACGTGACCGTTGATCGGACTCGCGGTTTAATTGATGTGCGAATCCAACCAACGATCATGAAATTCACCGACAGCTAAAGCTCGAGTTTAGGATCATAAGCTAATGGCTTGGGAATCGTTCCTTCGACGAAACCTAGCTTCTGTTTCGCGCTAAGAGCATTGGTCATCTCACTCAACTATTCATTGTAGTTTTCTCCATTGAAAACCACAGAAGTAATTAGCGATCCGAGATTATCGAAGCTGTACAGAGAATATGGCGTTGCAGCTTCAGGTGAAGGCGTCGCCGCAACAGCAACGGAGGATTCGACATCGTCGACCATGACTAATATCTGTTTGAACTACGAACAAGAAAGCACAAGGGGAGCTAGATCGAACTTCGAAATAGCATAAGAGAAAAAAAAACTTAGGTCTCAGAAGCGATTTGCTCTGATACCATGTAAAAAAAATTAATACTTTGAGAATATTGTGTTATATTGATTTCAATTATATACATGACATATATATACAGGTAAAACCCTAGAACTGATGTTGAGCTTTAGCACAAACAGTCATTGCTAAAGTACAAACCATCTTAGCTATAAAACAAACTGTCATTGCTAAAGCCCAATACTAATTTTGAGCCTAACCGAACCCAACTCCCTAACAGTAACAATGGGATATTTAGAGTGTCAGCTAATATTGACTGGATAGTGGATACCCATTTTAGATTACCCATCCCTTCTGGATCTAGTATGGATACTAAAATCTATTATCCGTCAGCTTAGGTCGGTCGGGTATCAGATATTCAAAATTCAAGGATACCAACCCATGTCCTATACCTTTACTGTACCCATTTTAACTGGAAAAAAAAAGTAATCCCAAATGGGAAATTATTTATACGAGAATAAAAATGAGACGGGAAATTCGAGACAGGTCGAGACAGGAAACCTTTCACGAAATGCGCATGCCTATAATCCAGGACCAACAAAGCTAATCCTTGAAAATCCATTCAATATTCAAACATCACAATCCTCGGTGAAATTTGGAAGCAAGAGGTATGAGAGCAAAACAAAATCTAAAATAAAAGAATTTAGCAAACAGAACACACAAGCATATAAGTCGGCAACATACAAACAGAATGACAAAAATAACACAATCAACAATCATATGATCAAGTTCTAAACTAAAAAACACTTGACAAAAAAGATGTAACTTTTGTTACTCACACGCCAAAGGTTTAACCTTGAACCTGTAAATAAGCATTTTCTTGGCCGTGCTCGGGTTATCTACGGTCAGTAGAATCTTGCCAACTTCTCCAACTTTGAAGCTCTGAGACACTAGCGGTTCAACTTTTGCAGCCATCTTCCTTGGTTTCTGAATGATCACTGTGTATCCTCCTTTGTTCTCTGGCACAAACTCTGCTCCGTACAAAACCTCCCATCCCACTACTCTTATCTCCCACACGATCGTACATTTCTGTGGACAAAATGTTTTGAGGCACAATTAATCTAAGTAATCACAGTCTAAGTTTGTTCATACTTACACATGCATTTGGCTATATCTTTTAGACAACATATGACTATTGGGAGGATCTAACATTTTAACTAAACAATTGAAAGATATATTTCAGCTATGTAAATATATTTTGAACATTAAAACGTAAACATTTGAAACAGTTGTATAAAATTTACATATAAAAAGGTCTCACCTCGTAAACAATAATTTCGACAGTTTGTTTTGTTGTTGGTTTAATGGTAATCTCTGTGGCTGTATCATCGTGTGTGAAATCCGAGATGCAATCGCAGTTATCCACGCTTAGTCCACCATACTGAACCGGGACATGTTCAGGTGAGATATACCTATAAACCAAAGACAAAGAGAGTAATTTCCATTTCAAATAGTAGTGGAAACAATTCCATGATTAAAAAAGCTCAAAGATTTTGGTAATTACTTGAAAAGGGTTTCTGCAGATCTTGAAGGACCAGCAAAAACGAGTTTGCTCTTCGACCTTTGTGTCATGAAAGGGCTAATAATCCTATAGAAGGCAAGGTACCACCATGGAACATTGATGAATATCTGATCATTACATTAAACATTCCACAGAATCAGATCAGAGCATTCACATAAAATCATTATTGTCCATACAAAATATTTATACCTGTTTAGAGACAAACTCAGGATAATTGTCTTGAAGTAGGTGAAGAGCTTGCTTAGTGGCTAGTCTGAGCTCGGTCTTACCAGGTCCAGGAGAATTCTTCAGATCGTTTACTTGACAGATCGTGGAAACTCCAACGGCTACAAAATCGAGCTTTCTTATGCTCTTCTCAAGAAACTGAATCCTCCATCGCAAGAACCGTTCTCTCTTCTCCTCGTCCGAGAACGTTTTCTGATAAAGATCCTTGCTCTGAAACTCACCGTAGGCATTATAACAGACCGGATGATTCTCCTTGTCGTGTCCTTGCATGAACACAACCTTGTCTAAATCGTCTCCGAGGTTTTCGTCGAGAAGTTCCTCGATGTTAAATTCGATTCTCCATTGGAGTGTTTTGTTGAGCATTGAGTAAGCTTCTTGGGGTTTGAAATCTCTCGCTCTTAGGAACTTCAGCAAAACGACGTCGCTTCTGTCGTCTTTGAGAAGTGGCACACCCCATATGGAGCTTTTGCACGAATCTATGGTGGTTGATTCTTGCAAGAGGTGACGGAGCTCGTGAAGAGCGTTTAACTCTGTTTCTGAGAGGTCGGAGATTTTGTTGGTTTCTTCTTTGAACGAGCCGAGGCTACGAGGAATTTGAATCTTTGGTTTCTCTTCAGCTTCTTCTCTGTTCATCATTTCCGCTAGCGATCTAGATTCCACTGAAGAAGAAGCAGCAGCAGCTGGTGGTGGTGGTGGCGCCACCGCGACTTCAGGGCTTTGAGGCTCCGGTTGTTTCGGCTCAGGTACTGACGCTGCAGCTTCTAACACCGCCGCCTCTGGTGGTTCCGGCTCTGTCCAATCTGCTACCTCCGTGTACTTTTTCCTATGCTCCAACATTAGTTCCTGTGTTGGCTCTGTCTCCGGCGTCACTTGATGTGGCTTGTCTGAATGATCCTCCTCCGTGTGGTTAGGCTCCTCTGGCTCCGAAGCCATTGTCTCCGGCGTCACTCGATGTGGCTGCTCTGAACCCTCCGCCGTGTGGTTAGGCACCTCCGGCTCCGAAATTAAAGGCAGAGACGGCTTTGGCTCGGAGTTCGGCGGCTGAGTTTGCTCTGGCTCTAAAGTTACATGATTTAGCTCCGGCGGCTGAATTAGTTCCGTTAACTCAGGCTCCAAAGTTAGCTGCTTTGGCTCTTCTTCATCCAGTTTCTTGAATTTGTCCTCCTGTGTCGACGGCTTCGACATTGAATCGACGGTGGTTGAATGTGGCGGCGGAGAAGTAGTAGTCGCAGAATCTTGAGACATTTTGTTTTTATTTTCGTTTTTATTATTGAGAAAAGAAGAAGAAAGGGACAAGAGGGAGTAATATAATGTTAGCGGGTTTTTCAGGTAGAAATTGGTCAAAGAAGGTATCCAATGTGGTTTAAAAATTACAACTCAAAAAGCTGTCCCAATAAAGTAGAAGATGTCTTTATCCTTTACTTAGAAATAAAATAATGTGACTAGTAAGTACTACATCTACATAAGTTATGAAACTTTTTGTAACCACCAAAATGATTGTACTGATTTTTACACAAAGGAACTAAGATATTTTTTAAAACAAATTTAATTGTCTAGTAACCGATGTCTACAAATTGTACTAGTTTTGGAAAATTTAAATCTAAGACATGATTTTACTATAAAGCATGGCTACACATTACAAGTTTTTGTGTTCTAACTGCTAGCTACACATTAATTACAAGAGTTATTGCATATAATGCCCATAAAAAGTTATGTAATTAAGCCCACAAAAATTGATCCCTCTCTCTTCGTGTAAAATCCAATGCACCCTTATCCAAAAACACAAACGCATAAAGTAGTGGGCCCTATTAGACGTTGCGTGTTCGCAACATTACCGATAGCAAAATCTAGCTTATTTACTATAGAACATAGGGTGATCTGCAAGAATGATACCTTGGACAAAATCAATTAGGAGAATATCATAGAAAAGCAGTTAATTAGCAAAATGACATAAGTCAACTTTCCAGAGGGTGGGGAAAATACGAAACACTCCTTGTTCCCTTATCCCAATCACTGCTTTTCTCTGACATGGAAAAGACGTTGCTTTTTCTAAAGTTTCGGACGTTACCACCTAGTTAGGAACCATAGCAGTGTCAACTTTTTATCATCGATTAGTGTGTATGCGCCTAGGTTTATTTCGTTAACTGTGTAGCGGACTAGGTTAATAAGAGGTCCCCTACCTTCTTAAAAGCCCTCTCTAAACTCATCAAGCTTTTATCGCCGCTTAAAAAATTTTGAAAAGGTAATAGACGACTATTTCGGTATAAATTTGTCGTCTATTTTTTCAAAGTAGTCTAAAGTAGTTATCTGTTTCTAACTTTGCAAATTCTCGTACAGATGGTTGGAAAACAAGTCGTTCTGCTAGTGAAGGGTAGATGGTTTGAAGATACACTGGGTGTTTGGGCTTTCTTGACGGACAAAACCGTTCACAGCCAAGGTGCTTTCTTGACCTCGAGGATGACGTATAAGGAGGTTGTGAAAGTTGTGAGGGAGAAGTTGCAGTTAAGAGAAGAAGCAGGAGTCAGTCTGACATTCCAGTGGCCGTCTTACATGCTCATGGATGATGGCAAAGATGCACCGCCAGTAGCTGTTCGTTGTGGCGACGATGTCTCTTTGTTCGTTCAAATGCGCTCAGAGATCGAGCAACTCAACCTATGTGTGACGGTTCACGACGAGGATAACGACTGTTTCCCACAAACAGCTTTAGTGGAATCAGGAAACACCGGGAGAGACGACTCTGAAAACACGTATTTCTCGGGTAAGTCCCTTATGCTTATAAAGTAGTTGACTACCAATAAGTGTTTACCTTCTTTATTTTTGTTGCATCGATTTAAGTACCCCCTCATTTAGTAGTAGACTATGTAGATCTGACTATTTGAAATGTGTTGTTGATTCTGTGTATTTGAATATGTAGATCTGTAAAAATGTATGTATATTTCAGTATGTATTAGAGAAATAACCTACTAAAATCGTTATGGGAGGCGAGTATTCACTTATTACGTAGTAGACTACGTAGATCTGATTATTGAGACGTTTATTCGGTAACATGTATGTATTACTTTTTGTATGTGGATATGTGTATGCGATTACATGTAACAGTCTACTTCCGTAGTCATAGTTAAAGTATATGACTACAAAATATGTGAAATACTGACATGCGTGGGTTCCTGATTTGCGTGTAAGAGGATGTGAAAAGATGGACGAATTAGCCGCAATTAGTCTTGCTGGTGAAGAGCCTGTTGGTTTTGGTGGCGGGAGTGATGAAGAATCCCATGCGGCTAACGACGAAGAACTGCATAACTTTGCCGTTGATGATTCTGCAGAGGGAAACAGTGTGGTGGTCAGAAAGAAGCGGAACGGAAAGGCCGTACTCGAGACAGATGAGGAAGGCCTTACTCAGAGAGAAAAAGGTGAAAGCAGCCGGTCAGCAAGTAGGTTCAGCTGCGCGCAGGAAACGATTAATGGAACCCAGAAGAAATGCCGGCAATGTTTGGAAGAGATGCTCCTCCGGTAGTGGACGAAATTGATGATGATGGTAAATAGTAGAGAATGTTTAGACATTGATAATTGTTGTGTGAGTAGTAGACTATAATATAGTTTTATATGTGTTAAGGTATAGACAGTGCCTTGAAAGACGTCCGCTACGAGGGTGATGGAGTTTTTGTCGGCCGGATATTCAGGAACAAGGTGGAATGCAAAATAAGATGGCTATATGCAATCAACAGAAAATTCCACTTTAGGACTCCTCGCTCCACACCACATTTCAGGGAATTCGTCTGTGTTAGCTCAAATTGCCGATGGCGCGTGTACACTTCGCTGATGGACCAAACCGGAAACTTCCAGATAAAAAAAAGCTCAGCTGAAGCACACCTGCCCAATTGAAGACCGCAGACAATTCCACAAGCAAGCAACAACACAGGTCGTAGGGGAATTAATACAAACAAGGTATCTAACTATATATAATAGACTATTTCTCTGTTTAAAGTTAGCATGTAATCGCTTACTTGTAGTACACTATCTTGTTTGTAGGTTTGTCGCAGGCCAAAAATGACCGGGTCCTATAGAGATTCAGTGAATCATGCTACAGGAGTTCCAGGTAAACATCTCCTACTGGAAAGCATGGCGATGCCGGGAAGTTGCTGTAGAGAAGGCTTTTGGATCTGTGTCCGGGAGTTATTCATTACTCCCATCTTATCTGGAAAACCTGCGGACCCCAAACCCGGGCACTGTTTGCAAAACAGAGTTCCAGCTGGATAAAAATGGATCCAAGCGGTTCAAGTATATGTTTATCTCATTTGCTGCCTCCATTGCCGGACTGCCGTATTTAAGGCCTGTCGTTATTCTTGACGGCACACACCTTTGTTGGGCGTTATGGTGGATGTCTTATTTGTGCGAGTGGGCAAGATGGGAACTTCCAAATCTTCCCTATTGCTTATGCCGTCGTTGACAGCGAGAATGATGCAGCCTACGAATGGTTCTTCAGGTGTCTGCAGACGATCATAAAGGATGACAGAGGAGTGATGTTCATCTCCGATAGACACTCATCAATCTACTCGAGACTGAGAAAGGTAACTACATATTATGTAATTGACTACTTATAGTTATTTATTGATTCTTCTTTTGCATTTACGAATCTGTATCCGATATAAATGTTGACTACTTATAATTTCCTACAGCATATGTACCATGTTTTCTTAAGGTGTACCCGTCCGCTGTGCATGGTGCGTGTTTAGTACATCTAGCGAGGAACGTGACAACCCGATTTAAAGAGAGTAGATTGCCTGCATTAATGGTCCTAGCAGCAAAGGCTTATACGGTGTTTGAGTTCGGACAACTATTTGGCGAGCTGCGAAGCGTTAACCCGGCATGTGCCGAGTACTTAACTGAGTTGGGGCTTCCTCACTGGACGAGAGCATACTCTGTCGGACAACGGTACAATGTCATGACAACCAATGTTGCCGAGTCGCTGAACAAGGTACTGAAAGAATGTAGGGAATTTCCCCTAATTTCCATGCTTTAAGCGATACAGATGAGCCTCATGGGCTGGTTTGTAAGGAGAAGGGCTAAACACGCTGCTGAGATACATCCCCTGACAAGTAAAGTGCGAGACATCATGGACGAAAACTTTTTTGAATGCACCAAATTGAAGGTAATAGTCGTGAATAGTATTCGTCTATTAAGAAAAGCCTATATTTAGATGATTATAAGGCAGATATTGGGCCGTGTAGCTGCATACTGATAGTAGACTACTTCTAATTTATAGGTGATCGTGGTAAACCAGAATGAGTTTGAAGTTTACGACCCAAGTGGAGTTAGGTTTGAAGTGAATCTGCAGTCCAAAATATGTAGCTGCAGACAGTTCCAAATGCTACTTATACCCTGTTGCCACGCATTGGCTGCCAGCTCGTACGGTCAGATTGATAACAATATCCTTGTCGGAGAAGTATACACAACAGGTTTTATGAGATCGCTGTACGAGGGGGTTTTCCATCCAGTACCAACACCTGTAAGTACTGGTGAGCCTGAACTGCTTCCTCCAATAATGCGCCGACCACCTGGACGTCCAAGAAAAACCAGGATCCCATCTCGTGGCGAATTCAAGGTTCGAAATCAGTTACCTAAGTTTGTTTTTTGTAATAAATAGTTGTCTACCATATATTCGAATAATATTTGCCTTTTTCTTTTGTGAGTCAGAGACGTTCGAAAAAGAAAGCGGTCAGACTTTGCACAAGGTGTCTTGGTCGTGGTCACAACAGAGCATCCTGCAAACTTCCGGCGAAGGATAAATGAAAAGTTAAGAACCGGGGGTGTACTTAGCTACTGAGGGAGAGTAGCTGTTTGTTAAATTCGGAAGAAATGGTCCTTTTGTTTAACACAGGTGGACCTTTATTGTGTTTTTATTTTCAGACATTTGTTGTGGCGGCTCTACTTTTGGGATTTATGTTTTGATTTTGAACTGCTTTAAGTCGTTTAACAGACTCCCTTATCTATCGTGTGTTATGTGCTTTGATGGTTTAGTCTCTTAAAATTTGAAATTGAAGAAGTAAAATATGATTAGTTTAAGGTAAAGACGTAATCTGGATATATTTGATTAGTTGTCTATATAATAGATATCTATATAAAGGGGTGAATCGAAGTATTTGATGACTTGTTATGGTCTTAGTAGATCGATCAGACTTCCAACAGAGTAAAATAATATAAATCTAACCACCTATTGATAGTCAGCTATTTGCAACACACATGACAGCGACTATCTGATTGGGGATCTGGTCATGTCTGCATGAGTAATATGTACAAGGTACAAATGGGTTCCTTGTAGTGCGAAAAAGATGATAAATTAGATGATATCTGTGAAAATTTTGAATGTAATATGAAAAAAAGATGATAAAGGGGTTCACATGATTAAAGGGTTCCCATGATATCTGTGAAAAACTTGAATGTAGTGGGAATAGCAAGAAGATATATGACTAAAAAAAGTTAAACATAATGAACTTTGCATGTCTGTTAAGTACCATAAGCTTGTTGAAGAAAGAAGGGGAGAACTGTTTTAAAAACATAAGTAATACAAGGGATAATACAAGGAACATGCGCCAAATGATGTTGAAGGCAGATTCAGGGATCAGTCGGCGGGGCCGATGAAATTGGTTGCTCGACTTTACATAGTAGGTCGAAAGCGTAGGTAAGAGCTGCATCACGGACCAAATCGTCTTCAATGACAGTGTCGACTGGCATGTTCTCTGAGTGAAGCTGAAGTAGCATGAGTGTAAGTACGGCGCTGTGACCTGGTACAAATGAAACTCGTAGTTAGGAATACAAACACCATCACAAATTTTAAATAGCCGTCTACAAATAGTTAATTACCTGGATTTGCTGTTTGGAAAACAGGCTTAGCAATTGAAATGTTGAATGCGTCTAGGGTGTCGTTCTTCATCTCTGAGTTGTACGCTACTTTCCTGATGAAGTGTGGAAGAGATTCGGCAAGTGGTACTATGAGGATCTTAAGCTTCATCTCCTTAATTGTTGGGTTGCAATTAAAAACAGCTATATCGTGTGTCTCCAAATCGATGCAAAGACCAATCCAAAGCCTACCATCAATCTGGAAGGGACAGTAGAGACGACCGACTACAGTGTACCAAGGAAATCTGTTTTTGACGTAGGATATGGTACCTTTGGGCAGGGTTATCTTGGCCTTCTTTGAGTTTGATAGAAATTGATCATGAAGCCTGACAATTTCGACAATTAATCCGAACTCAATGAAATCGTAATTGATGGGATGAGCTTCTCTGGTAGCCCACAGCTCATCACGAATTGAGGCAACTATGGCATTCATGCACTATTTTAAAAATGTACAACTATTAGTAGACAGATAAATTCGTAAAATATGTAAGCGACTAAACATATACAGTAGTTACTTAGCTCACCAAAGGGCTCACTGGCTTGTTACAAGACATTATCTGATTAAAGATGTTCGAAGAAAGGCGAATGCCATACCAGGAAGGGAAAAGGCTAACAAAAACAAAGTAAACAAATATCAACTTGGTCAGATATAAACTCGCCTTAGTGATAATGATTAAAGAACATCAATACTAAACACTGACCTGGTTTCTTTAATTTTGGCTTCAAGGAAGGATACTTGTTCGGAGGTCGGTCTACGAAAGAAAGAAGACAACTCTACAGATTTGTCGATCTTTTTCTGCCGTTTTTGAGGGTAAACAAAGTCTGCAGATGTAGCTGCAGCTCCAGCGCGCACGCTTTTACGTGTTGGAGGAGGACATTTGGAAGAATCTCTAACATCCGTTTTTCTCTTGTCCTCTTGTTCTCTTAGCCGAGCTTCCTCACGGTTTTTCTCTTCCTGCGTTAGACCTAGTGAAAAAGCTGGAGGATCGTCTACTATTGGCTTCAATAGTACCTAATAATATTCGTATACAAACTAGTCAGATGTAAACTTAAACGATAGGTAGTTATTAAGTAGTTGGCTACATACTTGTTCTTTATCCGAAACAAAAATGGAAACCCTTTAGTCATCATGGTCACCGGTAACCTGAAACATCACAAACTTTGTACATGGGCAAAGTGTTTGTAAATAGGTGACTACTAGTAGACGAATAGTAACCTTTGTGTTTGGGGGCTCGGGAATTGGATCTTGGACATCTGCAATGTCCTCTGTCTCCTGTAAAGCAATAGGAATTAACAAGGATTTGTCAAATAACTGACTACCGACAATATAAATATACATAGACAGTGTCATTTATATACAAATCAATTGTCTATGTAAAGTGTTTTTATAAAGTAGATGACTACTAGTAGACGAATAGAAACCTTTGTATTTGCGGGCTCGGAAATTGGATCTTGGACGTCTGCATTGTCCTCTGTCTCCTGTCAAGCAATAGTAATTAACAAGGGATATGTCAAATAACCGACTACCGACTATATAACTATACATAGCCGGTTTCATTTATATACAAATCAATTGTCTATGTAAAGTGTTTTTATAAAGTAGATGACTACTAGTAGACGAATATAAACCTTTGTATTTGCGGGCTCTGAAATTGGATCTTGGACGTCTGCATTGTCCTCTGTCTCCTGTAAAGCAATAGTAATTAACAAGGGATATGTCAAATACCTGACTACCGACTATATAACTATACATAGACGGTGTCGTTTATATACAAAGCAATTGTCTATGTAAAGTGTTTTTATAAAGTAGATGACTACTAGTAGACGAATAGAAACCTTTGTATTTGCGGGCTCGGAAATTGGATCTTGGACGTCTGCATTGTCCTCAGTCTCATGTAAAGCGATAGTAATTACAATATGTGAAATATCTGACTACTGACTATATATCTATAAAAATAACGTGTCATTTATACTCTGCTATTGCATACCTGTATATTTGGATCTGTTACAGGAATGGACGAAACTGGGAGATTGGTACTCTCATCTACCCCCAGATCACAGGAATTTAAATCTTGAAGTACTTCATCAATCGTATTAGTCGCCTTGGTAGCCTCATCGGTGAAAGTAAATTCTTTTTCATCTTCAACTTGAGAATCGTCAACACCATGACCGATTTTCGGTTCATACACTTGATTCTCCCCTTCCTGGGCCGCTGCGTTATCTTCTCCCTCTGCATTCCCCTCGTTCTCTTTTTCCTGATCACCATCGTTGGTTCCTTGGTTATCTTTTTGTGGTTCTTCTCTGTGAACTTTGTTTGAGGTTGTAACGGGCAAGGTGTCAGTAGAACAATTCCTCTTTTTGAATTTAGTGAACTCGGCGCGTAAAGCGGCTAGCTCATTGACTGCCGATTTCACATCACGGCGAATCATCCAAAAATCAGATGAAAGTGTGTTGACCGCATTCAAAAAGCTGGAATTTCCAGCAAGCAATTTCTCTAAAAAAGCAGGAACACCGGAATCAAGGTGGTCATCCCCATCGGATGAGGTTTTTTGTGATGTTGAGGATGATGGATGCTTTGGAAGCTTACTATGTTCGGATGCCTTGACTCCGCCAACGAAGGACTTGTTGGTGAATGCAGTTCCATGTTCAATGGCACTCGGCAACTTTTCCACCTTCGACTCCTCCTCGTCGTCGTCCATAATCTCCTCGTCGAAGACTGAGTCCTCATCTTCGAGGATGTGTTTTACAACGACCTAGTAATAGTAGTCGACTACTCTTAGTGTCCTATTTTATAACAGTATGATTTACATGTACATGAAGTAATTGACTATATAATAGTTGGGTACCTTATCGTCTTTGTCAACCATTTTAACATGATTCATCTGATGTGTAATTGGTTTCTGGGCACCGGGGCGTATTAATGGGAGATCATCGTCGTCCTCATCATCATCAGCTAAGCTTGGTTTCTTCCCCTTAACATCCTTAGACAACAAGTTGGGGACGCAAGCTAAAACCACCATTTGAAGAGCGTGTAAGAAGCCCTGAATCGCACAGGTCGGCTGACAGAGATTGGACAGAGTAGCAGTTCTAGTTTTGATGCTTTCCATGGTGATGTCAAACGATTTGCGACCCCAAGGATAGGAGAGAAATTCATCAACATCTCTAACCATCAAGATATGATCCCCATTAATTTTTGTATTCTTAGAGGTGGGACACACTATCCCGTCAACTAGTAGTAGACAAGCAAGCTTGAATCTGGTATCTTTGTCCTTGTACGGCCTTCCCAAAAGAGTATTGGCTATCCAAAGTGGAGTTGCATTTTTCTCAGAACCAAACAATTGCTTAGTGTAACTCTTGATTTCATCATCGTCACCTTCAGATGTCAAAGGTAGAGTCGAGCAATCCAGACCAGTAGCAATAGCGAACTCCCTCATCGAGAAACGAATTGGCTGACCAGAGAAAAGACACCATATGTCTTTCTTCTCACTGGTAACGAGTTTCCTAGACAGCAGATAGTGGAGAAACCTAACGGAAAATGCGATCTTGTTGCCAGCTTGAAAAAGTTTCCCGAATTGGGAGTCCATAAGCTTGTCTATGTGGTCATCTTCAAGTGCGAAGGTAATAGTATCAAGGTAGTTCAGCTGGAAGTACGTGTTTGAAGAACCTCTCCGGGAATGGACTCATCGAGTTATGACTGCAAAACAATTAACGAGTATTGTAGGTGTTAGATGCGACTCCACCTATGGATGTATTGATGGTTACTTATTGAAAACAGCAGACGACTACTGATGTCAAAATATGCTACATATTTTGTTCAATGTGACTATTAATAGCTTTCTACATATTGGTTCAATGTCAAAATAAGCAACTAATTATAGTCAACTATAATAGTCTATATGTAGATCTTACGGGGTAGACGGTTGTTGAAAGTGGTCCACTAATAGTAAATGCCTATGGTATACGGATGCGCATAAGTACGCTATTACATAAAATATAGATCTGACAATTTATATAAAATTGAAGTAGATAGTAACAGACATGCAAGTCAGACAACACAAAAAATTAGCATCACCTTCGAACACGATAAAAAAAAAACTGAGGACATCAAATGGAAAATAGTGTGTGTAGAAGATTTCAAACTGGAAGATAGATTAGGACTTACACTAGTAACAGGAGAAGAGGATGAGGTGTTAAACGGTGCAGTGTAGATGAATTGCAGACTTGGTTCTAATAGGGTTTTGGTAATTCTGGGAGAGTTACTATTGAATTAGATGAAAACCGAGAGGAAAATAAATCGAAAAGAAAGAGGACGAAACGGTTGTGTGTTCATCTGCGAAAATAAAGGAGAGGAAATGTTTTGCAGACTTGAAATGATGGTTGGAATAAGTTTTGGGTTTAAATTCAATTTTTAACGGTTCCCAAAGCAAAAAGCAGTTGTCACGCTCAAACAAGAAACCGCTATGTTAGTGTTACTCAAAGAGTCTATGGTGAACAGAAAATTAGGGGTATTTATGACTTTCGATAATGATATTCAAGATATTTCCCTGATTCCGTCAGAATAGTTAACGAATCATAGCGGACTATTATACAAAAAGTAATCGACTACAAAATAAGTATACAGAAGACTATAATTAAAAGAACCTAGTTCACAAACAAATGAAGTAAACTAGAAATACGAGAACATACAACATCCTTACTGAGAACACATTACATAGTCACATACTAGTAGCTGATACAGAAAGAGGACTACTTCACTGTAGTACATATAAGCAACAGACCATAAGGAATTGAAGACAAATCTAACAGCTTGGATCGAACACGAATCTGGCAGTTTGGTACTGGGTGTACAAGTAGCACAGCTCGCAGCAAATGAGGTGATGTTTCCAATGGCATCTGGGAGAATCAGTCAAGAACTGAGGCAACTTGCATCGGTCATCAACTACCATTAATTTTGCTGTGTCCATCACATCATCACCAATCTGAATCATGTGGCACATGCGGTTTCTCCACCGATCTATACGGTCTAACATCTCTAGTGCAAACGGATAGTGACCACATGCAGTGGCACATATTGCAGCCATTAGAGTCGCCGCGTCAACACCCCCCTTGGATGCCTGATAGAAGAAAGTAAGAGAACCTAAAACATCGAAATCAACAATGACCCGGGACATACCTCGGAGGTACAAGGCAATAGGGTTCCTGGAATTGATAGCTGACTCGAAGAAAAGAGGGTATCGATTCATTAAAGTGGGATCTTTAACGAACGAGGCGATGTTGATCACCTTCACGACAGCAGGATTTTTCAGGATTCGATTTAAGGTACTAGATGAACAACCGAAATACACAGCGTCATTCGGAGCTTTTTTAGCTACTTCTAGCAAAATATCAAGCAGAACATCCTGAATCTGGAGAAGAACATTGTTTACGGAGGTTGTAGTATTGTCTACTGGAATGTTGGCCATGCTGTAAAATCGGTAGACAGAAATTGTTAGTTGACTATTAAAAGGTACGGGAACATCTATTCAGAACTGAATCAGAAAGTAGATCTGGCCGTGAACTAGTTTAGGAGCTTCTAAGAATCATCAAAATGGTAGATCTATAATTACAAAGATGAAATTTGGTGGGAAAACGACCAAACCAGAAAATATGTTCTTACTAAACGGCGTAAAAGCTGAGATTACCGTCGAAGAAGCTTCGGAATGAAACGGGGGTAGTGAATTCCGCCTGGTGAGTATTACCGTCGAAGAAGCTTCGGAAAAAAAAAAGAGAGAAAATATGGAGGATATCGAGAGACAATACCCAGCCAATATTTGAATTTGAAATTCAAATACAAGACAGAGAAAGATGTGTATAAGTAGACGAAAATTCAGTAAATAAGAAAGACAAATTTCTGTTCAAAAAGTTTTACATTGTCAGACAACAAAAGTTTGCAGTGTTAGAGGTTTATATCGACTACCATTGATAAAAGAAGACTGTGGGGTGCTGGGTAATTTCTCACCCATTAAACTTAATAAAATAATAGTGCAAATTTGTTTTCTGAAACATGCTATCCCACCTAATTTCTTTAGAACATATCGAAAAATAATATAATAAATTTTGCGGGGGGAAATTGAAAAGAACTAGGGTTTGTGGGTTCTACTAAAAAATTCTATTCAGTTTTCAGAGTGAATAGAAACTGAAGGTCTCCACCAGCCTTTTATCGCCGGTGGACATTAGAAGGAGAAGTTCCCGATTTTGTCAATAAATCGAAGGAATAAGGAGTCGACATCGTTGATCAAGGACGGAATCAGAAGTAAAGGTAACCCCCGATTACTGTTAACTGAGATAATCCTGTCATCAGTGTCACTTATTTAGGATTTTGTACATTGTTCTCCTCTCAGATGGAAGAAGACGATTTTCCGAGGAGGATTATAACGGCCGGCGATGAACCTTGGGGTCAGAGAGTCATTACATACCAAAAATTCAGCATTATTCAGGATCTTCTTTCGGCGCTGGACGAAGACGAGATTGATTTCATTCGTCAATCTCCCCTGGGCAAATTACTGGATATACCCTCAATGCCGGCGTGGTCAGGAACATTTGGGTTGTTCCTGTTGTCCCGTCAGTTAGAAGTGAAGCGGAAGAACGATATATGGATTCTCTTCGCCGGTCACCCCATTAGGTTCTCTTTGCGAGAGTTCAAGATTGTTACTGGTCTAAACTGTGGAAGGTTTCCGGTGGATCTGTCCAAGAAGAGGAATACTGCTAACTATCCTATGTATAATAGACTATTTGATAAGAAAGAAGATGTCACCGTGGAGAGAGTAATTGCTATTCTGAAAGCTAAAAGAAGCCTGAGTAAAGAGAATCGATTGAGGATGGCATGTCTTGTCCTGGTCGATGGAATCCTCATTCCAACTGTTCATTACCCTCGTGTACGAGTTGTCAAAGAACATGCGGAAATGACTGAGGATCTAGAGACCTTTATGGAATATCCATAAGGCAGGTTATCTTTTGATATGATGATAACCTCGATAAAGGGTTTAGATTTGCGGAAACTTGCAAAAGCAAATGTCGCTGTACAAGGGTTGTTCGCTGCTCTTCAATTAGTGGTTTTGGAAGCTGTCCCAGAAATCGGTGATTGCCTGAATCCTGTAGGTTGAGGAGAGGTGGACTCAGATGATGATTTCATCCCACATCAGCGTCATCATCTTCAATTGAAACTAAGTCATACGCGCGAGGTCGATGAGGCCTGTGAGGTAAAAGCATTCATCTACCACCATTCGATAGTTGCAAAGTTTAATTCCGTATGTCTCCCTAGATGACTTACATCATAGCTAACATTGATAACTATTAGGAGGATACCTAGATATAGGTAACTGTGTTGCAATGAAAAGAAGGAATGTAATAGTAACTTAGAGCTAGCTTGATTAAAACGTCAACAATGTTATCGATACTTAGATTATAGTGCTAACAGGTGGGACAGAATAAGCGGAGAAATGGTTAACTATAAATGAGATAATTAGGACTTCAAATTGAAATACTGTAATATTACAAAAATCTGCCGATAAACACGTTATCATGCGAACTTAGTCATCCAGTATAATAAGTACCAATAGAATGTTATAGCCATATTCACTCCATTTCTTCTTGCTACCTTACAGGATCTAGTTACATGCATTATTCGGCCGAAGGTTGAATTTGATCCAGATGAGGAAGACCTTAGTTGGGCGGACGACCCAGCTGATCCAAAGGTCGACAAGATCTTGAAACTGATAGCTGAAGGTTTCAAGTTCACGAGTGAAATGTTCACTGGTGGTAAAAAACCATCCGAAATCGCTGTCAAAGTCTAAAAAAGGAGAGGCGTTGGTGGGAGGTCCGTTGTTGGCAAGAACTTCAAAGGGAAGGAGAAACGTTCGGTGGCATCTACTTCCACAACCGAGGAAGACAGATTGCCACGACTTCTCGATGAAAAATTAGCAGAGCATGACATCATTCAGAGAGAGATGTTCAGTGCCATACTCAAGTAAAATAACAAAGCTTTGCTTGCAGCCTTGCAGGACTGGTTTCTTGATAATACTGTTGTACAGGAACGTTATGCGTCCCAGACGGTGTCTGCCGACTCTGACTCAGCCGGTGAAAATGAAGGCAATAGGGCGAGGCAGAAAGGTCGCGTTAACGGTGCCAACAAAGACGGAGAGACAAAACTGAAAATCCTGCAAATGTAGGCTGTCATTCCCAAGCAGCGGCGGTGAATGGGGTCCATAGGGACAATGTTAATCGTGCTAATACTGTGAACGCGGAAACACCGATTCCTCGGAATCCAACTTCACCTTCGGCTGGGGACGACAACTCCACTGCTGATGACGGGGATCCAGACGACACCAACGCCTTTGGAATCGAGGTATATCAATTTTGTATCATATGAATTATGGGTAACTTAATTGACGGTGGAAAGGAGAGATGGTGGGTAGCTGTCATTGAAAATGATTTTTTTTTTGTTTCATGGCAATGTTCATGAGCACGAGGATGGTGATGCTGCGCACACTGATAACCAGGACGATGATAGAAGTACTGATGATCCATCACAACCGATGGACATGGC